TTTTGTCCTTCCGATTTATTTTTGTTTAATTTTTTTATGTATGTATGTATGTAAAAATTACATCAATAAAAACCTACATATAATTTAAGAAGTATTACATTTTAAAATAGTATATATATATATACTGTATATATACTCTGTGACTCTGTGTTTTAAAATAAATAAATAAAGTTTATTTTTTTTAAATTATAAAAATAAAAACAGTTTCAAACTTAATAAAAGCTATAATATTATCTCAATGGTGGTAAAATGTCACTGCTTGCGCCTCATATCCGCTCCGTCCTATAAATAAACCCTGTGGTCAGTTTATTCTGAACCTCTTCCTGTGAGATTAATTTCCTCATTTGACCTCATGCAACACTTTCATTCTGGCTCATATTCAAATGCCTGGTTTTCAGGAAGTCTTTTTACTGAAGTTACCTTGACATTAATAAGGAAGTGATACTGAGCATTTCTGTTTTGAAAAAGAGAAGGAAGCTTGAGATCATTTAGGGAAAATGTAGATGTTTTATATATACTTCTGTTATTTCATACTTCTATTGTCCTGATATTGTCTACCAATACTGGTGCATTCAGAGGAAAATGAAGCAGCATGTGACATTGTTAAAATATTCATGTTTGAACACAGAACTCTTTTGTCGGGAACTAGACATTATTGAGTGAAAAGGATCTGAAAGAAGAAGTGCATGAGTCAGACAGGATGTCACATGTGATTTCACATTACTCTTAATGTTTACTTCTGTATGTGCAGCTCTTCTGCTCTATGAGCATTTTTAGCATTTTATATTACGCTAATCAAAATTATTTTCTAATGATGCATCTGATGTTTTGAATCATGTTTAGTGCAGACTGAATAGCTCTTACATTAATTTTCCCTGTTATTTTCGATTATTGTTTTCTATTATAATGGTATATACAGTAAGTATTAAAATGGTATATAAACTGTTAGCAGCATAACATTTCAGTAAGTGCAGATTTAATATTCAGATTATTCTTTTATATATATATATATATATATACACACACACACACACACAAACTTAAGAACTTTAATAAAAAACTTGAATTTGAAAGATGAAATAAAACAAAATAAAAATATTAAATGGAAAAATGTATCTAAAACTTAAAAGCTAAACGGAAATACACACACTTCTCCATTTAGCTTATTATTTTTTTTTATCCATCCTTACATTTATCTATTTTATTTATATTTATCTTGAATAAAATAAAAATAATATATAAAAAGTAAAACTAATTAAAGCTAAACAGAAATATTAAGAAATTCTTAGTTTTGAATCTTATCTAAATAATAAAAAAAAAAACATAATACATTTAAAAAATCATTTTCTGCAGTTATAATTCTTTCACAATTAATTGCAACTTAATACACGGATCAAAATTATGTTGTTTTATAATGATATTTTGAATCATATTTAATGTAATAGGAATAGCACTTCGTATTTTGTGCCTTATTTAATTGCCACTTTAACATGTTTATCTTTAACATGTTTACACAATAAATGTAATATTGTTAATTTCATATGTTCATATGATCTTCTCTTCTCTTCTTTAAAACCCACGGAGATCGTTCAGACAGAATTGAAAATATTCTGGTTTAATAAATACTATATTTTCGCCGTTTTTATGGATAGTGTAAATCATTTTAAAATAAAACAATGACAATAAACCCCCACAGTCTTATTTGGAAACGGCATGTGTTTATTTACAGTCATAATCACGGTGATATTCATGCTACCTCTAACAACATGCTGTGAGTTAAAATTAAAAAAGATATTATTAGAATAAGGGTTAGCCCAGTGCTAATATGCTGTGTATGTTTATCTATTCTGAACACAGATCAGAAGAAGAGATCTTCAGTAGGAAGCTTATTGGATTATTCCCAACGAATAGCATCCATAATGACGGATTGATCCTCAGGAGCTGAAACAGGAGACAGGTAATAGGCCTGGAGTTATTCTCTTTATTGCTGGACGTGCTGATTCACACTGGAGAAACAGACACAAATAAACATCAGTTATGAGTACATCCCAAAATGATTTGAACAAAGATACAACAAGTCTTTATACTTCAAAATGTTATGTTTAATTCATTTGTCACTTGCCGATTCTTTGTAATTATTTGGGAAATTTACTAGCAATTTCTAAGTAAATATTTTTCAGTGCGTATCAGTAGATGCTCATATTAGCAGAATAATCTGTCAATTATACACTCGCTGAGAATATCAGCATCTGTGATTATCCATCAGCAGAGAAATGCATGAAACAAACACAGACAAAGATGTCAATATTATTTATTATACAAGTTATTGACTAATTGATGTTTTTTTCTTGTATAGCACGGCGCATGAAATCATTTCTAGTTTGTTCGATCATATATGTATTTATACTGTATGTGCTTCTGCTGTGCATTTTTCTAATTGAATGACCCTTAATGGATTTGAAATGTTGCCTTGGCAACTACCTAAAAATAAATAAATATAAGTACTCAAATTAAAATAAATTAAATAGTAAAGCTAAATAGAATTTTAAAAAAAATAAAAAATACAAATAATGAAAGCTAATTCAAAATATGAATAAATATGTATATAAATAATACTAAATACTAATCCTAAAATAGTATATAAAAACAGTCAGTGGCATAACAGTTTTTTATTATTCATTTATTTTTAAGTTAGCCCACTTTGTAGGTCTATTCAAAGTACAGTTCATCAAAGAAAGTGTTGATGCACCTTAACTGCACTCGGGTCTTCCGCGAATGCGTGTGTCCGGGATCTCCTTGCCATCTTTATCCACACACCAGCAGTATCCGGTGCTGTGCCAGCACTGCATGGGCAGATAGTTGCCCTGTTTGTCACACTGAGACTTGTAGAACCCGGGTCTCACCTCCTTCTGAGACTCCAGCTGACACTTACTCTGAACCTCAACAGCTGCGGGGAGACACGCACACGTGTGAGATCTGAGCGGATCAGTGTGAGTGTGTGTGTATGTGTGTGTGTGCGCGTGTCCGTGTGTGTGTGTGTGTGTGTGTGTGTGTGTGTGCGCGCGCGCCTCACCTGATTCAGGAGAGCTCTTCACATCCTCATCCGCATCCACCAGCAGAGGCAGGCTCCTCATTGGCAGCTGCATCTTCTTTGGCATCAGTCTGGAAGCTTTTCACAGAACATGGAGATTTAGATCAACAATAATGGACAAGACGATGTCATATATTCAGAATGTTTATGATATACAGAAGTTTATAGTTTATACATAGTTTATAGTTATAACTTACAACATTATAACTTATTGTTTTTTACTTATATTTTGTAATTTTATTTATATTTATTTATATTCTATAATAATATAGTGTATTTATATATTAACTATGAATTATGTATATAATAATTATATATATATATATATATATATATATATATAATTA